CTCCGGCCCCTCCCCCGCCCAGGGATGGGGAAGTCGCGGCAGCCGGGGCGCGCCCCCTTCCCCGCTGGCGGGAGCACCGCGGGTCCAGCCTGCGGCTAGCGCGAGTTGGGGGCCCTAGGAAAGAGGGGGCCCGCTCGGCCGGTCTTCTTTGGAGTTGGTTGTCTCCGACGCGGTGCCGCGTCCAGGTCGTCTTCACCCGTGATCAGTCTCCTGCCTGACTGCTGGGCCCCTGTCCCACCGCGCGACCACTTCCCTGGGCCCCGGCGACATCCTCGCCTCCCAGTGAGAGCCCGGAGCCAAAGAAAATTAGCTTCGGGAGAACAGCGGGCATATTAGAGTCCAGGTGAACCCGCGCCTTTTCTGAAACGCAGAGTTTCGACTTCTCGGGGCACCAAATTGGGTTTGATATGAGTGCAGCCCCAAACTACCCCAGTGTCGTTTAACCACCCCTTCCAGGGCACAGCAAATGCTTGCCCTGCTTGCACAGGCAAATGCTTGCACAGAGGCAGTAAAAACCAGGGAACATCCAGTCTGGGACCTGCCACACCTGGACAATTCACAGTAAAGATACAGGACCCGTGCACGGTGGGGATGGGGGGTGCACCTACGAGCCCGGGGCCCCAACACAGCGTTTGCTGGTGACCCCTCCAAGGAGCCCCAACACCGTGCCACCCCACCTTGGCTGCAAAGTGGACATCTAGAATAGGCAGTCCCTTGAGTCACCTGCCTTCACGGCTGCAAGTCCTCTACAAGAATGGAAAGCTTGTCACCGGGGTCAGGAGAGAACTGACACCCCAAAGGGAAAATAACGCAGAGTAGCCCTAAATTCAGTTGGAAAATGTGGGCTCTCTTGCAACCACAAGGCGATCAGATTTCTGCCTTGGGAACTGCTGAGACACACCCAAGGTATCTTCTGCAGGTTAATGGGCGTAGCCTGGCTTGATCAACGGGGGTTCTGCACCTACAGCCTGGTTTCCTAAGACTAAAGACAGGGAGCAGAACTGAAGGAGAGACCACTTCTTTAGTTGCACCCAAGTACTTGACTGAGAGGGGGAAAGGGGTGGTCATTCAGTACCCCCAAATACTCCTCAACTCAACAAACCAGTGTCCAACGTGAATCCTACCCCTGCCCATTTAAGCACTCCCCAGTTTGCTTAGCACAGCCGGTCCCCCCACCATACCACCACTGACAGCCTGCTGGGGAGGCCAGCATTCCTCCCCTACCGAAACCCATTCTTCCACCTCCCCCAACCCATGCCAGACTCGCTGGGTTCACATTCTGCTCTCTCCCACATCATCCCACTCCCACTTGTCTCCCCAAGCAAATGCTATCTTTCTATCCATCTCAAAATAATCAAAGAACCACCCAGTTCTCTCCACCAAGCAAATCCCTCATGCTCTGAGAAAGCCACTGGAGCACTTCCTGCTCCCACGCTCACCTCATCCCCAGCCGCCTTGTAAGTATCATCTTACCAGGACTGGACACCCTGTGGCCACCCCCCACCAAAACATTTCAACCCCACTGAGCCCCCAAGAGAAAATGTGGCTAGAGAGGATAATTGAGTTATTGTGGGGGGTTTTTCCCCCAACATGCAGTTAATGAGAATCTTCTCCAAACTAGTAAGCATCAGAGTCCCAGCAGAAAACAAAGACATGTATCCCCTAAATGTAGATTTGAAGATAAGGACCTGCTTTTCCCAAACAAACCACTGCTGGAGTTTTAGATGGCAATCTGCAGGGAGGGATTTGTAGGGCAGGGGCAGCTACTTGCTGATTTTGATTTTGATTTGCAAGTTGCATGCTGGGGAACTGGCAAGAATGCCCAAACACGGTTAATTTACTTCTTGAAAGCCCTCCTCTATAATCATTATCTACATTCCAGACCATTCTCAGGTGGGTAATCAGCAAACCCTGAGACCGTGTGTGCTCCATAACCACAGAACACAGAATTTTGAGTCTGAAGTTCCCCTTTCTAGCTTTGGAAACTTGGTTAAATAACCTGTAAAAGTTTGTTTTCTCATCTGCAAAGTGGGTGTCCACAGACTGTGCTAGAGCACCAAATGAGACCCAGTATGCAAAATAAAATAACTGTGTGAGTCCTGAAGGCGCCAGTGCTGTATTCGGGTGGCATTGGAGAGATGGGTTCTAGTTTTGGCTTGGCCGCCAAGTGACAGTGTGATTTCTGTCCTGGTTATCAAACTCTCGGAGTACTGGTTTTCTCATTTGTAAAATGAAAACAGACCTTGCAGAGACAACTTCCTTGCTCCCTTCAGGAACCCACCTGGGCTCAAGATGGGCACAGCATGGGGAGACTACCCAGGAGAGGGTAGGAGCCCATTGTGCAAGGCCAGCAAGTCTCCGCCTAGCTTCAAAACCACATCTGGGTTGTTAACATGCCACTATTTCCTTCATGCTGCCAAAACAACATTAAGAAAGGGGTGGGAATGCAGACAGAAAAGGCCCTACCTCCAGCCTGTATACTCCAAATGTCAAGCCTTGCTCTTGAGTCAAACATCTCAAGTAAAATCAACATGCCTAGGAATGTAATGCTATACTCACCCTGTGTGTAGAAAGAGGCTTGCACCGGCCTCCCTGGTGATCAACGGGTTGTCTCAGCACTGTGAAGCTACCCACAGCCACCGCAGCATGAGTTTGATCCCTGGCCAGGGAGCTGACCCACATAGCACAGCAGAGCTATCCTTTCTCCCACCCTGCTCCCTTCAGCAGTGTGTTTCAGTACATCCACTTGTTCTGCTGCCCACTCTGTCTCTAGTGAATCCTCTCACCTCCCCCCCCCACACACACACACACCTCTGGCTATACCCCAGTTCTCCTATGCATATAAATAAGTCTTCTTTTAAAAAAAAAGAAAGAAAGAAAGAAAATGGACTCATGGTCAGACATAAAACACCCTCTTCTGACCTTCTGTCCATCCTAGGCCATTCTGAGCTAGGGTTGATGACAGGGCTAGGGAAAAACCACCCAGAGATCATAGTGTTCCATATTTTTATCCACATGGGGTTAAGATAAAAAAACAAAGCAGGGCCCTCCCTGGTGGCACAGCGGGTTAGAGCACTGCACTAAGAAGCTAAAACCACTTCAGCATGAGTTCCATCCCCTCCCCGGAGGTGACCAGAGGTGACCACATAGTGCAGCAGACCTCTCCTGACCCGCTCCCTGCTCCCCTCAGCAGTGTACTATCTCTGGTGAATCCTCTCACGGCCCCTGCACCTCTGGCCTATACCCCAGTTCTGTATGCATAAATAAATAAATCTTAAAAAAAAAACAAAAAACAAAAAAAAAACAAAGCAAGGATGCCATGGGAAGAATTCTGTGGAGAATCCCAAAAGCCTAACTGGTCTCCTTTCTATTGTCTCTCCTTGTGCCCAGATGCTAGAATCTGTCTGTTCCTCCTCTAGAGCTCCTGGCCTAGACACCCTGTCTTCTACCTTCAGGGTCACAGAGGCTCCCCTCAACACCTCACCTTACAACCCCTCACTCTAAGGCTCAAACGCACATATACACCATCTCTACCACCTCATCTGTTCCCCCCTCCCATCGCCTTTCATATTTCCTCTCTGGTCAATTACTTATTTAGCCTCTTAAACTATAAGCAATAAGATGGCAAGCTCAGGTGTGTCTTGCTCTTGTCTGTGTCTTTAGCGTCCACCTTCATTCTGGCACATGGTCAGTGCTCCCCGATATCTATACAATCTATGAATCTATGTGCAGGAATGCAGAGGACAGTGCCACCCTTTGCCCTATGCTGAGAGTTGGAGACTAGTGGTTAGTTAAGGGTCAGTGTAGTTGAATCTGAGAACTTTTCTTTTTTTTAAAGATTTATTTTATTTATGCACACAGAACTGGGGTATAGGCCAGAGGTGGTGGGGGGAGGTGGAGAGGATTCACCAGAGACAGAGTGGGGAGCAGAACAGGCAAATTGAGGAAGTACACTGCTGAGGGGAGCAGCGGATGGGTCAGGAGAGGTCTGCTGTGCCATGCGGGTCACCTCCCTGGCCCTGTATGGAATTCCTGTTGAAGCAGGTGCAGCTCACTTCATACTGCTGTGCTTTAACACATTGCATCACCAGGGAGGGGCCCTGAGAACTTTTCTTACTACCATCTGGCCCCTACAACTTCTTTCTCCCAAAGCTGGCCTGAGTCACAGAACTCTGAACCACTAAAACAGCTGAAAAGAGCCCCCCAGCATCTGGGGTGGGGAACATTTTCCCTCTTCCATATCACTTTAGTAGAATAACTGCCATTTACATTACTAGTCCATAAGATGGCATGGAATTGTGGCTATATGGTAAAATTTTCTCCCCCAGCTCTCCTTCCAAGCAAACGTCCTGACAGGCTCCAGCCTGCATCCCATGCAGGAATCTGCTGCCTGATGGTAAAGCCAGTCTTTTCAAACCCACTGATGACCAAGGAGCCAGATTTAAAAGATTCTAATAATGGGGACCCAGTCTCTGCATCTCTGCAGGACATTCTTAAGGAAGGAAGAAGTTAAATACTGTATTGCCTTCCTCTTGCATCAGCATGTCTTTAGGTCAGGAAGACATAGAGCTAGAAGCCTCTCCCATCCGGAACAATTATATTCTTAATGTCAGTGATTCACTGTTTCCACCTATATAAACTAAACTCAAATTTGT